TCATATTTCCACCACAAAACCCTCAGTGACGTCATCTGGTCGGCCGATGAATCGAGCCCCGAGGCGGGACGATGGACGGTCAATGGCAAATAGTGGAAAGCCAAGAGCGGGTCGGCCCTCGGAGCTCTGCGGTGACACTCGCACGTCGTCACTCGAATACACAGCTCTAATTCTAGGAACTGAACGCGAACATACAGTCCCTTGGATGTAGGGGACAGGGGTTCACCCGAGAAACGGTGACTCAATGTGTACTGATGTGTTTCGGGTTAGTCACGCTTAGCTCAGTAAATCACGGTTAAGACGTCATCGTTCAAGCCTCCAAGCCGGCGTCAAACCGTGCATCGGAAAATTGATAATATACAGACAGTGGTTGCAGCAAACGCCCTCCTTTTTCAAGCGACTTACACACCTCGGGTGTGTGCTCCCTTTCGGGAATTCTGGTGTAAATATCAGATAGTTATAACTCTAGAAAATGTTGCGGTGTTTGGTTGGAGGTGGGCTTGCTTTTTAACCTTTCTTTCAATAGCTCATAGGAAGCCTTAAAAATAAAAGATGTCACAGGCCAGTGATTTGTTTATTTCACAACCACTGAAAACAGCGTCGGAATAAGATTAGTTGCCACAGTGATGGGGGATAGATGGAGGCGGAAGGATTCATTTCCGCCATCGCCATTCGCCGCGCGGCCCGCCAACTAGAGTCAATGTGGCCGATTACTCACTTCCCGGATACGGTTCTTGGCACACATACAAACACACAAAGGGACGCCACGACCGCAAACAAGGCCCGTGGAATGGCAAATTCTCCTGGTAGGTACTTCACATGCATCTGAGTAGCTCGCATCTCAGCAGAAAACACATGACATGGCTGCCAAAGAATCACAACTAGGTTGTGAATCATCAGTTTTCTCCGCGGAAAACAGATGAACAAAATATTTTACGAGGTAAATGACTGTAGCTTTGGCTGTCAAAAGTGACATGAATTAACGAAACTCTTTGAAGATAGCATTCGCTGAAACAGCTAATTATGATAAAATAACTTGAAATGAATAACACATGCAACTAAATATAGACGGTTAAATAGATAATCTCAGGCCACAAAGATGTTCAAATGTCACTTCTAAAATAAGAATGGTTAAGCAGATCTCATCTATGGGTTTGAGTTACCTAATAATGCCTGACAGGCAAGTGAGTGTATATTGCAGTTCGACTTATATAACGCCTCGGAGCTGAACCAGCTTCTTCGAAATGGCAACAACCTCACGCCAAATGAAATGCGATACAAAATATACCAAGCTAAAGGCCTGGCTACACTATGCGTTTTCTGCGTGCGTTTTTGCAAGTTTGCGTGTTTTGCGTAATATCGTTCTAGGAAAAAAGTTATAAACAATATAATTTTTACTTTGGTTATATACAAAAGCTAATATAACTCTTATGTAACTAAAATTTAAGGTGAAAAACATCACAAAAACGTAATATCGTTCTTTTTTCTAGAACGATATCACGCAAAACACGCAAACACGCAAAAAACGCACGAAGAAAACGCATAGTGTAGCCAGGCCTTAAGAGTTAAGGCCTGGCTACACTATGCGTTTTCTGCGTGCGTTTTTTGCGTGTTTGCGGGTTTTGCGTAATATCGTTCTAGAAAAAGGGTTATTATTAAATAAACTTCTTTAATATTGATATAAGAAATTAACAAAACGTTTATGTTAATTAAAAGTTTATATGAAAAACATATGACAAAAATGTAATTTCGTTTCTTTCTAGAACGATATTCTGCAAATCACGCAAACTCGCAAAAAACGCACGCAGAAAACGCATAGTGTAGCCAGGCCTTTAGCGTAGAGAGGTCAACGTTAAAAGCTTGGGCGGTCTGTGAACAATTTATGCAGCAGCGTTCAGTGTGATATAAACGCGATAGATTTTCATTAGCTGTGCGTTGAACTAGTTTGCGTGCGTTGATCTGGATTGCGTGTTGATTCCATATGAAATCAACACACATGTAATGAGTAGACCAGCCCATTAATTGTCAGTTTCCCCCAAATCCTCCTCTATTTGTCACGATCAATCGGCTAGCCGAGGTGTAAACTTAGGTCAGTGACTCAGTGAAAGCCCTATTGATGACGCTCCACCGTTTCAGAGCCGTCTCCGCGCTAGGTGTCGGGTTTTCCAACGGGTTGAACGCCCCACGGACAGTAACAGGATCCCGGCATGTGTTCCCCGTGGCACCAACTGCAGGCTTCTGCAGCTGTATGAGGGCTCGACAAACCGGAGGAAGAAGTAAAACGAAGCAGATGATTCACAATCACTTTACTTGGTGCTCGTTTTGATTTCAATTATGAAACCTGGCTTGCCGCTAGGTCCTTGATATCTACTCGGCTTAAATAAGAAGTTTAAGGAGTCACGAAACTTCAGTGAACTAAGTTTTGACTGGTAACTGCTCTTAACCCTCGCCCGTAAACGGCGATCTGCCACCTTCGCCCATGCAGGGGGGGGGGGGTTGGTGCGACCCCCCCCTTGGCGTTTGAAAACTGAGCGTCGTAGAGCTTAGCGGAAAAGACCAACGGATTGCTCTCGCCGAGATCTCGCGATTGGTGGTATGTTTTTTGGTCCTAGGTCAACATTTGACCTACTTTTGACCGGTCAAAGGTCAAATTTTCGGAAAAATAGACTTTTTTCAACTTTCCGCGGCGATTGCGGCAAAACGGTGGGAGATATCGACTTGAAACCTTCACTATCGTGTTCCTTGATCAATTCTCTATCGTTTGGTATGTATTTCGTTTCCCTAGCTCTAAAAATGGCGCGTTGGGAGCGCCGGAAGTCGGCAAGGTCACAGTCGGCGGCAGAAATTCGAAAAATCAAAATTTAAATTTTTGAAATCTGATTGTATTTTTGGATTTGGAAGGTCCATTTGCTCCCTATAGAAGCTAATATTGCTGCATATTCCCATTGAGGTGACAAGAATTAGCAAAATAGTGGTTCGGGCGCTTTTCAAAAATAGTACCGGACGCTGTTCCTCTTGTGACGTCATAGCTCCGTGACCTGACCTGACCCGGTCAAGTTTCTTATACCATATGATAGCCAATACTTGCCCCAACATGCATGGGAAGTTTCATCACGATCCATCAACCGATGTCTGTACCACCGGCAGGAAACCTCGGGCGTTGGCACTCAGTTTGTGAAAATCCGGCCGGAGGCTGTTCCCTTTGTGACGTCATAACTCCGTGACCTGACATGACCCGGTCAATTTTTTTTTATCAAAAGATGCGCAAGGCTTGCCCCATAAGGTACCCAAAATTTGGCGGCGCTGCGCGCCGCCGTTTTTGCACTATTTCCGAAAAACCTCAGGGGGGGGGGTTGCACCAACCCCCCCCCCCCTACATGGGCGAGGGTTAAACACACAAATCACAAATACACTCTGCACGTAGCAGCACTGAGCTTCATTAAAAAGTTAATAGAAACGTTACATCATTGAATTTAACAAATTGAATTAAATTTCAAGGCACAAAATTGGCACCGATTACGTTCATGTTATTGCCATTAAGCCTTGTGATGATCGTGCCGAAATTTTAGCGGCACTGTGCGACGCGAAGTCGGCGGGGCGGCGCGGGACGCCAGCTCCCGTCTCCCGGCCGCGGCGTGCAGAGCTCTTGACTCGGTCGGGGGCACCAAGGTCGCACAGCGGCGTGTTTGCAGAGCGTCGCTTTCCACGATAACAGCTACCGTCATTACAGCCACCCCGGCGCGAGCTGGCATCGCTGATGCCGGCTGTGATGATTGATTCGGAATATAACAGCCGGATGCTCAAATGAATAAAGAGGTGAAAATGTCAGATTTAAAAAAGTAATCATAACTGATTTCAAGGCGCCGTAAGGTATCTAAAACAACATGCGGGAATATAATGCACTCATTGAACAGCAATCAGAAGCAATATCTAGATGTTGGATCCAGCAATTGCTTTCTGGTAAGTGGTCGTTCAGCACTGTGCACCGTGCAACACAAGCGGGACTGCACTTTGCTACACTATCAAATGGACCTGATCGATAGAGCAGATCCATACCAGGTCTCTTCACAAGTTGCAGCTCCGACGGACAGTCAAACGTATAGGACAACAAACTGTACGCTGGGAAAGATATGTGCGATGAGCATTGTGCAATGTCCACCAGTGCACGTTGGCACTGTGGGGATCTGGAGCTCCAGCCATCACTCGTAGCCCAATCATGCCTCGCATGTCCGTATCATCGAGCTCGTAAATTAAGGCCACCGAAGCCCGCTAAGCGAAACCTGCTTTCACCGTGTGACATCGCTGCGTTTTCGCTAACCTTGGTCCCCCTTCTAACCACCCAGCCGGACTGCCGCAAGTTCCAGGAAGCAGCGACAGCCTGTAAGCTGCACCTCTGAATAAGATCTCCATTGCGTCCCGCTGCGCGTGTTTGTGGCACGTCTCGCCGGATTCTCAAGGACAAACACGCTGTGATCGATCAGCCGATGGGCGGGAGGTGCGCCGTCTGCCGATACCACCTGTCTGGGACCCCGAGGCTGTCACAGACCACTGCCACCGCAGCGAGCGTCCCGCACCGCACTCGGGACGGAACGAGACCGACGCGTGCCGTATCGACCGACGTACATTTGTGGCGTGAATAGAATCGTCATCAATCGTGAGTGCCCCTGCCCCTCTGGTCAGGTGAAAATCAAGGGCATCCTCTTTGCAGCAATGTGACCGCACCAGTCACTTACGGTTAATTGCTACGGACAAAGCGAGGAAAACGTAATTCTTGAAATCATGCAGCCATACGGCTACGAAACCTAACACCATAGCAGTTTGGCAGGATCGCGTCGCGGGGACCATATAGGTATCATTGTTCGCCCATTACATCAGAAGAAGGATACTAATTGTCAGCGGTTAACTCTTAGCTCTTCAAGAGACTGACACTTCTAATTATCAATGTTGTGGACAATCCGTGAGCACCAGAATGGAAAAAAAACGGCTAGACGAAGACCCACCTTTACAGTGTCCCGTTGACTTGTCGATGATGGCCTTCGTGGAGTTGATCTGTCCGAGTCCGTGGCACATGTTCCTCAGGTCCTCATCGGTGGTGTTGGGGCCCAGGCCGCGGATGTAGAGGTTGGTCTTGCTCAGCTCGGCATCTTTGACGTCCTTGTGGGAGCCGTGCGAGCTGCTGCCGTGCGAGCCGGGAGAGTGGGCCGGGAGGTAGCCGTTCGAGTTCTGAAAAAGACGGAACAGATCAGGACGTCAGTGGTGCGTTGGTAAGGCGGACACGTAGGACGAAAGAAGGTTTATTGAGCAGTAACGAACGATAATGGATGGGCAATGTGCATGTTGAGGCCACGGGCATAAACAATTAGGGTAAAGGTGGCAATAGCTGCATGTTTATCACTATCACTATGCTAAGGTTTGAGGAAAGACAAGACGTGGTGCTGAAGACCTGTTGCATCGTTTGCTGCAATTATGTGTGCTTAACTGCTGGGTCATAGCTTAGGTCTTAGACAGGTCGCACACCATACCCAGCGAAAGAAGCAGTATAAAATAAATACGAGCAGCGAAATGCGACGTATCACGTCAGCTGACCGTACCTCAAACAGCACTGACATACAGCTCACACTTCACAGGGACGGTCATTGATCATTGGTCACCGCCAGACGCCGTCTTACAGCTCGCACACATGACAATGACGTAACGCCACTTGAGCGGACCGCCGTCAAGTGTTGATCGCCGGACATTGGAGCATGATACGGCGCGTGTCATCGAGCTGAGGTGGCCTATCGCACACAGTCGCTCTCATACCTCCACCCCAGACGCCAAGGAGCCTGCATTAGAGCCTGCTATCACCGCGCCCGCACCCTGCGAGCGCCGATACCGACCAAGTGCGGCGATAAATCGGTGTGACTTCAGACGCGTTGCATAAGGACGGCCGCGCGACTCGCAGCGACCTCCGCGATTTATGGCTCAGGAGCTGGCGTATCAGCCTCCTACTGAGATAGAGGAGGGTCTCTGTTCGTCTCCACAGCTGAGCTTTCGAAAAGCACTGCCTCGGACATGTCAACTGTTCTTCTCAGACCCATATTCGCTAGCTGCCATGATCAAAACCGCTGTCACCTAATGCCGAACTTCCAAGGTATTGTGACACTGAATGCGGTTGGAAGTTGAAAGGCGAATGGATATTCCCAGTGGACTGGCGTTCCCAACCGAAAACCTCAAAGGAGGACGATTCCCAAAACAGATGACAGATGGGTAGGTACTTCTATCGGCTAGCACGTAGTTCTGTAGGTACAGGTGCACCTTGAAACAGAAATAACCAATTATACCGCATAAAAACAAAAATAACCAACAGACATAAAAAAGAATAACGATAAACCGTGGGCCTATGCCAAACACGTAGACAAACTAGGCATGCAGTTATGCAGCTTGAGCCACTTGTCAACAGGCTCGCATATTGATCAGCAACAGCTGAGTTCACCATCACGTGCGGCGTCCGCCGTCCAGTCAGCGCCGATCACGGAGCATCTGCCTTTTGCTACCGCCATGAAACGGGACCGTGAGAGCCTCTGGAGGCGCCTCTGGCGGGGGACATCGGGACCGTCGGACAGCGCACTGCCCACGGCGGTAGCGGTAATCGGTGTTTAATATCGGCGCCGCAGTCGGCCCCGAGGAATGCCAAGCACGGCCGCGTCCGACGCCCGCGGGCATCCCGAATCCGGGGCGCCTCCGGCCGCGCAGCAGACAGCCAGCTGTGCACCCATTTCCGACTGGCTCCCGCTACTGGCGGCGAGCGTGGCGCATCACCGACGAACGCGGCGCACTGCGGACGATGGACGAGCAGCCGCCGTGACGGTGGGTACGATAACGAAACGATATAGCAGCGGGAATCGAGCGAAGACGCCGCCGCTGCGTTCCGGATGGCTGTTCGATGGCCGTCGCTGTCTAGACGGTGACTTTTTATGACGGTCGTTTTATGATGTGAACAGTACGGTACAGACCAATGTGGACCCATGCCAAAGAAATAGAACTGCAGCCCAGACCTACATCAACCATCGTGAGGCAACGACTGTGGCTTGATAGACGTTGCTTGCAATCACATTCTCGCAGTGAAATGCGTCAGCACCCGTCCAGCCTGGATTCCGAGCAGGTCGCGCTGCGGTCGGTCACCGCACGGCCTCTACCTAAGCCAGCTCCATCCCGCGAAGGCCCACAGCGCACCACACCAGACGCCCCGCGAGTAAACACTGCGACGGCGGCGCCTGGCACGCGCCGGACGCCGGGGCTCGGAGAGACGGACAGATGTCCCGTAAATGGCGCCGCATAAGAGATGACAGCATTGGACACTGAGGGCAGTCCAGAGGCAGCAGGAGACAGTGGACACTGGAAAATGGACAATGTGGACACTATGTAGACAGCAGGAAATGTGGACAGTGGACAATGTGGACACTAGACAGTGGATGCTGGACGGACAGTAGGTACCGGCAGCGGTGGACAGTGGACAATGTGGACAGTTCACTGGCGGCAGTGGACACAGTGGATCGGGTCAATCAACCGTACCGAACAGGTCACTAGCGAGTGCCGCATTCTTGGCGGAATTACCCAGGGTGCGCCCGACTGACGAGAGGGCCACGGTCGTTCACCATCAGGTGCTAATGTTTTCCGTCATCTAGACGCCGTTAAACAACCACGACACTGTGCGCAGTCAAAAGGATATTACAGGGCGTATGTTGATTAGTGAGGAAGTGAGAAAATATGGAGACACGTGAAGAAGAAAAAACGAATGAGGGAGGCAGAGACTTTGAGACGGGCTCCACGAAAAGTTCCTATTCGAAAACCGGCTTTTCTTGGAGGCGATTTTGCTATATGAGAGCTATATTATGCTATATTATTGTATATTAGAACCAACATTGGTTACATTTTACCCAGTGATGGGCGAGAATCGAGAAATTAATCCAAAAGTCAGCCAATAATTGGAATCATTATCGAAGAGCGAGAAGTCCCTAGATTTTAATAATGCCGCGGACAGCAAAGATTAGGTAAAGAAGCACAAGACAAGCAAGAGGAAGGGGGAGCACACGAAAGGAAAAAAGGTTGAGGAAAAAGCGCAGCCGATCGGTCTGTTCAATCTGCGGTCAATGGGCTGTCGTCGCACGTGTTCCGACGTGGCTGACGCTCGTGGCACGTAATGGCACGTGTTCTGGGTCACGAGGGACAGGCAGGCGAGGGAGTCAATCTCTACGGTCCGTGCTAGTGCCGAAACTCTTCTGCAGTTATAAAAGTTGAGATATATCTCAACCATATACCTTGCTATAGCAAGGCACCTTAATATAGATAATAAGGGAGAAATTCACGAGAAGCCTTAACCCTCGCCCGTAAACGGCGATCTGCCACCTTCGCCCATGCAGGGGGGGGGGGTTGGTGCGACCCCCCCCCTTGGCGTTTGAAAACGGAGCGTCGTAGAGCTTAGCGGAAAAGACCAACGGATTGCTCTCGCCGAGATCTCGCGATTGGTGGTATATTTTTTGGTCCTCGGTCAACATTTGACCTACTTTTGACCGGTCAAAGGTCAAATTTTCGGAAAAATAGACTTTTTTCAACTTTCCGCGGCGATTGCGGCAAAACGGTGGGAGATATCGACTTGAAATCTTCACTATCGTGTTCCTTGATCAATTCACTATCGTTTGGTATGTATTTCGTTTCCCTAGCTCTAAAAATGGCGCGTTGGGAGCGCCGGAAGTCGGCAAGGTCACAGTCGGCGGCAGAAATTCGAAAAATCAAAATTTAAATTTTTGAAATCTGATTGTATTTTTGGATTTGGAAGGTCCATTTGCTCCCTATAGAAGCTAATATGGCTGCATATTCCCATTGAGGTGACAAGAATTAGCAAAATAGTGGTTCGGGCGATTTTCAAAAATAGTACCGGACGCTGTTCCTCTTGTGACGTCATAGCTCCGTGACCTGACCTGACCCGGTCAAGTTTCTTATACCATATGATAGCCAATACTTGCCCCAACATGCATGGGAAGTTTCATCACGATCCATCAACCGATGTCCGTACCACCGGCAGGAAACTTCGGGCGTTGGCACTCAGTTTGTGAAAATCCGGCCGGAGGCTGTTCCCTTTGTGACGTCATAACTCCGTGACCTGACATGACCCGGTCAATTTTTTTTTATCAAAAGATGCGCAAGGTTTGCCCCATAAGGTACCCAAAATTTGGCGGCGCTGCGCGCCGCCGTTTTTGCACTATTTCCGAAAAACCTCAGGGGGGGGGGGGGGTTGCACCAACCCCCCCCCTACATGGGCGAGGGTTAAAACGGCTGGGAATATACCCGCATTAAGAAACATCCACAGTAGGCTTCAACTATGATAAAGTTATAGTCTGTTCCATTCCAAGTTTGCAGCCGAAGCACGTTATTCATTATAGCGCGTGAATAATGATGCAAGCAACTTTTGTGCAACTTTTTGCAATAATTGAAATAAAAGAGTACTGCGCTTTTCGCACATTTAAATAGGTTTCAGAAGTTGTTTGCTCACATATGTTCTATATCCTTTTCATTTGGGTTTTCTATTGATGATTTTGATGTTTCAACAATAGCATGTTCTCAAAGCAGCGTGCAGTTCAGGGAAGTCGCATTGGGTCACAGACAATGCGAGTGATCCACAATGTACATGCATTCTTTACGGCAAAGAAGTGGAAGCAGCCGAGAGAATCCGAAGGAAATTTCCGGTCCATCAATGTTGTCAGAGAGACAAGTGACGCGACTGGCGTATCAGAAAGAACCGTACATGCCATCGTTAAAGAAGGAGCGACCAAGGGATTCGCTAGTCCGGAACGGAAGCTGTCTGCGGCTGGAGATGCACCTCCACATCGTGTCTCGTTGATGGATGACTTTGACATCTGTGCCTTGCGAAGGATAGTTCATCGCAAGTATATTCAAGGTGAGAACGTGACCCTGGACACACTGAGAGCTGCTCTTTTGGACGAACTGGACATGGACATTAGCCGCTCAACGATACGCCGCAAACTCCTGCAGAACGGTTTCAAGTTCAGGAAGGTCAACCAGCGGAAGATTCTGACGGAAAGGTCGGATATCATTGCCGCCAGGTGTCACTTTCTCCGAACCATGAAGAAGATTCGTGCTGAGATACCAGTCAGAGAGGTAATCTACCTAGACGAAACATGGTATAACCAATACGATATGAAGACCCATGCCTGGTTGGACGAAAGCGAGATCAGCGGCACAAAACCGGTTGTTGGAAAAGGGAAGCGCCTCATCATCCTCCACGCTGGCTCTGAACACGGCTTTATACCTGGAGCCCTTCTCATCATGAGGACAGATGGCAAAAATGCGGATTATCACTCATCTATGAACTCTGAAGTGTTTGAGACATGGTTTCGGAAACTTTTGAAAAGCATCCCAGAAAACTGCTGTGTGGTAATGGACAACGCCTCCTACCACTCAAGAGTAGCCTGCAAGACTCCAAGCAGCAGTTGGCGAAAAGCTCACATACAGGAGTGGTTGGCACAGAACGGCATCGCCTTCGACCCGAACCTAAGAAAGCCAGAGCTCTTGGAACTGGTGCGACCTCTGAGGAAGAAGAAGCTGTTCTTCTTAGACCGTCTAGCAGCTGAAGAAGGCCACCAGGTCGTCCGGCTTCCTGCCTATCACTGCGATCTGAACCCTATCGAATTAGTGTGGTCACAGCTGAAGGGGTTCGTCCGTTCCAGGAACACTACAGGCCGGGTGGATGACATCGAGCGTCTGCTGCAAGAGGGCATCCAAGCTGTGACTGCTGAGGACTGGGCTAAGTGCTGCCGCCACGTGATCGTTCTAGAGAAGAAGTACTGGGAGAATGACGGCATCATGGAAGAGATTGAGCCTGTCGTGGTCAGCTTGCGTTCCGACTCGAGCAGCGACGAATCAGCAGAAGATGACGATGTCTGAGCAGCGATGTTCAGCAGTGTCCAGTTTTACAACTGTGAACTTTCAGTCTCACTGCTCTGTGCACTGTGCAGTATACGATCGATCAAATATAAAATTGTTATCCTTTAAGTTTATTACCTGACGGCTGACAAGTCGAATGCAAAAAAAAATGAGCGAATAGATAACGCTGCACTTTCCATCTCACCACATCCACGATTGAGACATCTGAGTGTAAATGTTTATTGAGCCCTAACCCACCAACGAGCCATAGGCGGCGGAACGGGGGGGGGGGGGCACCGGGGCACCGTGCCCCCCTTGATTTGGGCATTATGACTTTAGCCCTATGGGCGTTGCATGGAAAGAATGGGACCAAAAGTCGGCAGTGCCCCCCCCCCCCCTAAATTGAAGGTGTTCCGCCGCTACTACAACGAGCGGCATATAAAACGCTCATGATGAAATTAATTTTTCATACACCTATGGCTCAATATCTGAATATAGATAACATAAATATATAAACACTTGCATATTTACCCACAACTTGTGAGTGTTTCATAGGTTAACCCGCGCCCGGCTGGGGGTCCTGGATTTCCACGCCCTGCTGGGGGGGGGGGTGTTTGAACACCCCCCCTTCTAACTCGGCTCCTGGGACACATAGCGATACGCGGAAGGCGGCGTTCGAAAGAGCGTCAAAAATAATGAGGAAATCACTTCGGTCAATTTTTTGGTCAGGTCAAAGGTCAGGTCACCAGAGGTCATTGAAGGCAAAATTTCGCCGATTTCCAGGTCGAATGTCGACAATTTCCAAGAAGCCAACGCACAACTCGGGAACCAAAAGAGCTACAGCGCCGCGGAAAAGCGCATTCGATAGCCCTATTAACGCCCTTTCTGAGTCTCTCAGATTTGACCTAACGTAGATTTGACCTCTCTCAGATTTGACCTAACGTCAACGGTTTTGCCTGCAGGGGGCAAAAACTGCAAAAATAGCCGATTTTTTTTTCGGAAAGTTTTTCTGCAATAACTTTTGACCCAAGCCTTGTACGAGCTTACTTTTACCGGCATCGTGTTCCTCTCGTCAAGACGCATCGAATGAACTATAACTTGACCTTGAAAGGTCAACTTGAAAATTTGACCTCAGGTCAAGGTCATGACCTGACCGGAAAGGGTCATGTTGCATATCAGTCGATCCGTATCGTCGAGCTGAACACATCTAAGGCGTTTTCATCGCTCTAGTATGCCTCTATCAAAAGGTATTTGCGAAAAACTGTTAGATACCATTCGTGACCTAAGATGACCTCAGGGCATAAACAGGGGTCACGGACACCATTTTCTTGTTCAGTGTGTCTAAACCACTTGTAATTCAGTGTTTGGGAGTGTTTGTAATGTCTTTCGTCCAAAAGAGGCACATTTCAATTTTCTCCCATTGGGGAGGTCGCAAAATTGACCTGACCTTAGGTCATCGATATCAAAATTCTGAGATATACATTTTTTACATGCTATTGCTCTTAGCAATCGCTGAAAGTTTCAAAGCGATCGGTCACTCGGTGTAGCTATGACAGATATTGAAACTTTTAATGAGGTGAGGTCACTTCAAGTGACCTGGTGACCTGACCTTGAATGACCTTGGTCTGAAATTTTAACAACATGTGTATAATTGATGTATGATAAGGTGTACCAAAAACGGCGGCGCTCCGCGCCGCTGTTTTTGAGATATTTGCGAAAAACCACAAGGGGGGTGTTCAAACACCCCCCCCCCCCAGCAGGGCGCGGATTAACCAGAAACTAAATAGGATAATCAAATAGTCTAGTTGCATTTTTGTAATAATAACTTTGAGGTTTGATTAAAAGTCCGAGTGCCAATCATCTATTGACAAACTTGCAAGAAGCGAAGTGTTGTCCCATAGTGTAATTTTTGGGAAAATCCGGACGATATAACCGGCTGTTCTTATCAGAGGTATGTAACAAAAACTACTCTCGATTTTTGACTTCACCGCATCATGCTAAATGCCCAAAGCGCTTCGGCTGCAAACTTGGAATGGAACAGACTATAACTTTGAAGTTTGAACTTTTGTTTGAAGTTGAATATAATGGGAGAAAAGGCTGGAGCGGATTGCAAAATTAAAACGGAGATTATTCATACATTCCAATCAAAGCTTAAGGAGCTGCTGATCGTCTTCTTCTCTTTTAACCGCAGACAAATATAGCTCACTTATCCTCAGGCACAGGGGCAGAGAGTTCATCCGATAATGACGTCAAAACATGACGTCAGCACACGCCCACGCTTCGGCTCTTCTTGACCGACGACTTTCGGAAATCCCCTCTAATAGAGCACCGCGGAAACCCTAGGGCGCGAGACGACCCGATGTGGTACACGCGAAGGTGACGCATTTGTTTATTTGTCGTGGATTTAGAAATATAGACACTCTTATGGCATATCACTTCATGCAGTGGCAATAAGAATGAATCCTCCTGACGTCGTCATCAGATGACAGCCTCTTCTGTGTCATCAGATGACGTAAGCATCTTGACGACGGCGTCTTGACGTGTTGTCAGACGCCGTCGTCCCCATCCCCCCTCCCCCCCCCCAGTAAGGGACAGCGCCCGGCCGGTATTGGAGATCCCATCGACTCGCCCCTCGGCAGCAGTGGGCGGCGTGGGCCGCTCTAAGAGGGACCCTCCGTCGGCTCGTCCATCATCCACAGAGTGACCGTGCGGCATACTGATAGACGCGGCCCGCACGCGCTGCCGTTACCATGACAACCAGACGCCGCACTCGCCCTCCCAAAGACGCCATAAATGACACAATGACATAATATCTGCCGCACTTAGGATCGTGACTTGTATCAGTGACTCGGCTTGGTTCGATGTAAAAGACGTGATGAGAAGATTCCGAGGGCGGAAAAAGCGGTATGTCAGGAGAGCTTCCTGAAGTTATTTAGTAGGAGCAGCATGGAAACGGTAATCTGCCACGTTTTTGTTTGCTTTTACAGTTCCTATAGCAACCAACGTCATAAAAAGCGGTTAAAAAACGCCCACCCACAAATCAAATGACCGTTTTTGTGGTACCTAAATCTGTAGATAACAGAAAAAAAAACGATTCGCCTCTATCGCGGGTTTTTCGCTGTCTATTTAGACGGTCGACCCATATGAAAAAGGCGGCATGAATGAGAAATATGGAGGCGGGTCACGGGTGCCCTTTCATATTTGACGTTTCCCTACCCAAACATTGCCCGGGCACAACGAATAAAAACATAAAAATAATAGGCTGTTTTTTACACACACAAAAAAAACACATTAGAACTTTCAAATCATAGGCATACCTACACTACAGTTACATATAGCCCACTGACATGTTCATCTACGACTCCAGTTTCTAGCCACTCCGATGATTGAGCAGTTCCCTCCGCGCTCACACGGGAGGCCGCCTCTGGCGGCACCTCCCCCATCTCTCGACACCAGCCAGCCTCTCGGGTCCCATCCCCCGTCACACCGGCGGGCCCAGTGGCAATCGCTTCCAACGAGCTGGCCGTTTTGTGAAGCAGCTACATACCGGTCTCTGCGGGCCGGCTGCACAGCCGCCGCCGCCGCCCCCGCCCGCGCCGTGCGACACAACGACCTGCAGCGACCGGCCGAGGTCGCCACGGGCGGGGGCGGGGACGGCGGGTCAGGGAGGTCAGCTGGCGGCACGGCGGGCATCGATCGTCGGTACCGATAGACGAACCAGCGACGGGTAAACAGACGGTGCCCGCCGCCGCCCCCGCCGCCGCCCCCGCCCGGGCGGTCACCCGCCGCACAGGACGGGGCGGGCGGCACAGTGAAAGCATGACGCGACCCTATTGGACGCCGATGACGTGAGTGCTATAAAAGGTGGAGGAGCCGGCGGCGGGGGAGGGGGCGGGGTGGTACGCGACCTCGCGACCGTGTTTTGTACACGTCATAATGAATGGTTGCGAGCACGTAGGCAGGGACGCGCTCGGCGCTGCCTGCGCGAGGCGAAACAATGTTTGGCCAGCAATGTCGGTGTAATTTTAATTCGGTAGTTTTCTGGGAAATCATTAACGCTGACGGGTTCATCAACACAAAATAGCGCCCGTCGCCTGAGGCGACGCTGATCGAGTGCGCAGCAACGGCGCGCGGTTGCTAGCACATCATGGATGATGTCATGTGACGTCACATTCACGTCACTGCTAGGTAATGTGCAAACATTATGTCATAGGAATGCGAACCGAGTCATTTAACTGTATGCTTAGCAGCCTAGACAAAAAGCTAGAGGAGCAGAATTATACCTACCCGCTGGTGTAGCGTAGTGTACCTATCTGTAAAAAAACATCATTGTGCCTTAAAAACGTGAGGTAAATTCTGGTGCATCCCCAAAATCACTACTACGTGTCTATCACAAGACAATTGGCCACGCCACCCCTTGAGTATTGCATCGATGCATGCGTCACAACCGAATGCATGACTCATTGTTAGGGTGCATGCCGCATGGGTTTTACCCTTACGAATGATTCACTCGCATCTCAATAAATTCGTTGAGCTTGTTCAATGAGGTTCTCCATACTCGTAAAGCAAGCATTCCGACCAGGAGAATACCTACATGATGGCACGGTGAAGATGTGAATTTCTGAAATAGTTTCATGTTTGACGACGGAAAAATACAACAAAATAAATAGCAAAATAGGCTTCACATTTTAAGTCCGTTAATAAGCATGCACAATTACGTAGCTTTTACAGAATGGTTATCATGTTCATAAAGAAAACAAAAGTAAAGTAATTTTTGAGGATATGCGCTCCATCAAAAGGTGACCATTTAAAATCGTTAGCTACAATTAACTAACTAAAAATGTTTGTTAGCTAAAATTGTTTGTTAAAGTTGTTACTTGTATATTATAATACGACAGCCAACAAGAGATATGCAAGTTGTAGGTTCACAGACCACATGCTTGATATGAAAATGCGCCTGTCGCAATATATATTATCATCATAATCATAGCATTTGTGACTACATGCTCTAGGCCCCCTGCCTCCCACGTCATTCTCTACGTCACAGTGACGTCATCAACAACAAACGCGCCGTGTCCGCTAGTGGGCCTTTGAAGACGCCGCCGCCACGAGCCAGACGAGGT